GGCATGCAGGAGGCAGCCAATCGATGTTCTCTCTCATCAATGTTTCTATCTCTCTCTCCTTCTCCCTTCCTCTTGCTCTAAAAATTAATAAAGAAAAAAATGATAATAATGCTGACCTCCATCTGCAAGAGGTGTTCTTGTTGTATGGTAGAGTAGGGAACACTCCAGACTGGAAGAAGGTGTGTGGGTTCTGGTGTATGTGCCCAACACCTAGCCTGGGAACCCTCAGGCTCAAACAATCTCTCTCTGGTCCACTTCACACTAGCAAAATGGGTATAACCATACAGTCAGTGAAGTATAATGAATTAAAAATTATAATCTGATCTTTAAAAAAGAACTATCATCAGTCTTAGGAGCCTACAAAGTACGACTGCAGGACAAATCCAGCCTGCTGCCTGCTTTTGTAAACAAAGATTTAATGGAACACAGCCTCGTGCATGTCTTTATGTATCATCTGTGGCTCTTCCGGAGCTACAAGGGCAGCGTTCGGTACTTGCAACAGAATGCATATGGCCCACAAAGCTGAAAATACCACCATTCAGCCCTTTACAAAAAAGTTCTTCTGACCTATCTTATTAAGAGGTGTTTTACCTTCAAGAAAGTCATGTTTCATTTTTTCACAAAAAAATCCGGTTGTTTAATATGGCACATTTCACAATGCAGGCCATATGCTTAACAGAATACCTTCAATAATAATAATGTAATATTAATAACACACAAGAAATTTATTATACAAGTTTTCCGCTATATAAATCCATTACCATGAACAGAAAAGTCCTCAGAATTATTTAAATCTAATTCTTAAAAGAACAATAAGCTCAGAGCTGAGATTTGTTTCTGGTGACTATTTTAGGGGAAAAATCAGTATTACATTATTCCTATTGGGTCTCACAGCCATGAGGGCCACAAAGCTGCCCGGAGTTGTCGGTGCCAAACACACTGTGGGAGCTCAAAGATTAATCAAAATGACATCTCCAATTTTTTTCCTTCCTAATCAGGCCCAAGCATCATGGGACATCTGGCAAATCAATAAGCAAAACAGGATGCCCTCGTCACTCCCAGCCTGGCACCTGGCGGTGCTGCATTTTTGGAGCCAGGAGATGAGCGCCCTCGCTGGGACATGAAGTCCTGTACTCTGGTTGTTTATTCTTTCAAGAGATGACATGCCCATCTATGACCCTGTACCTCACCGTGGCATGCATCTGACCAGGCCACCTGTCACAGAAAGGAACACCTCTTATGATTTCAATATAAGATGGGCAAAGGGGTAAATGGCTCTAGAATATGCTTGCACATTCTACCAAAGAGTCTCATGAATAAAGCAGGAATAGGCTGTCATAAAGAGTTTGTGAAATCGAAGTTGTCTTATTCTCAACACCTAGGAGAAGGCGGCACAGGATCTGACCTATACCTCGTCCCTCCCGCAACCTTCCACCAAAGCAGACTTTTGCAACAGTTGAGAATTACTTACTTTTGGCTTCAAGCCCCTCCCCTCTCCCTGCCTTCTTTCGGGGCCCATTTCTCCCAATCCTTAGCCCACTGACACCTCCTGTTTTTCTCTCTGTGGGCTCTGGAGTTGCTCTAGTGCTGAAAGATCTTATCAGTGCCATAGAGTCAATTTATTCCTCTTTCATGTAGTTAGAGGCAACAGAGTGCTAGAGAGAGGAGCACAGGGTAGGTCTGCTCATATGTGGAATTAAGTTTGAACCTTTTAGCAAAACGGAAAGGCAAAGACCCAGAAAAAACTGGCTGGAGTAGAAAACACACAGAGTTATACCTGAGGAGGTGAGATGTGCTCTGTAAACTCCAGAAACTCCAGGGGAGTTTCGGGGGAGAAAGCTAAGAACATACCTTCAGCTGAGCAGCCATGATCTAAGTGCCACAGTCGGCCGTTGTTAAGATGAGCCCATTTGTACTCAATCGACTGAGGCCCAGGAACATTTGGGTTAGTTTGTTCATTCGTTCGTTCATTCATTCATTCATTCATTCATTCATTCATTCATTCATATGCCAGGCACATCGGTGAACAAACGCATTCTATGCCCTTACAAGCCTCTTTTCAGACTCTTTTGGGCTTAGCTGATAGTTTTCCCCCTAACTTGATGAAACTATAAATAGAAAAGCTTCCTGATCCTGGATTTTTCCATCTTGAAGGAAAAAATAGGAACTAGAAATCAAGTACAATAAGCATGATGAAAGCATGTTAGTCAAAACACAGCTTGGGAAAGAACAAATAAATCATTAAATTTTAAGCAAAATTGGAGCTGCAAAGTTTAAAGGGAAGCCAAACAAAGCTAATATCAGACACAAGATCGAAGGAATCACATGAACGTACTTGCAAGGAGTTAGTGTGTTGAGGAGAGTGAGGCTGCCAGCCACCTCCGCAGAGGCTGTGGGGCTCCTGTGAAATCGTCCACAAGAGGAGGCTTTGGAAAGGGAAGAGGCACATCACAAATGTGAAGGCATTGATACAATTATTGATAATATTTGCTCCATCTTAGGTTGGGTTACGGTTGTTCATCACTATTAATATGGATAACCAAGAGATAAACAGTCTCGCTATCTCATTTGGAACAAGTATTCTAGAGGTTATTATACGGCATGCTAATGAACTATTAATATTAAATAATGCACACTAAATGTGTGCATATTGTTTGATATAGCAATTCTAAAACAAACTTTTTATAGAAATCAATACAAATAACCAACTCTAGGAGATCCCTTAGTTAAAGTATGAAGTGTCCATAATGGCCACTGTGCTGATCACTATCCATTTGACAACCTACACCACCACCTTTTCCCTACCCTTCTGTGTCCAACTCTGTGCCCCTGGCTGATGCCTAGACCTGAACCTCCTTCTCCTCTGCCTTCCAGATGAACTCGGCTACTGGAGGCAACTGAAGAGGGAGAGAGAAGATAATTCTCCCAGCTCTCCGTCACAGTCCTGTATCTCTGGTGGGAGTGCTTCTTGCCCATCACTTCAGGAAATGACCACTCCTCCTTCGCTTCAGCTCACACTGGGTTCCAGTAACAATACTTTCTCTTCCTGCTGCTTTAGCTCTAGAGATGGTAAGAGCTTCCTGATATTGCCAGTGTCTGGGTGATGGGGGTCTCACTGTCCATTTCTTGTCTGTTTCCTACTCGCTATCCACACTCCTATAAATAGTCCTTTCATTAAAGTCTCTTCATTTGACACACCTGGGTTGAGTTCAGTTTCCTGCCAGGACTGTGACTAAAACACAATACGGACATCTTTTTATTGACATAGAAAGATGTCTGACAGAAAGTAGATCAAAATATTAACAGCAGTTACCTTTAGGCGGTGAGATAGGATTATTTGTTTATCATTGTGTTTCTCTGTATTTTTCAAATGTTCTACAACATTTGATTATATATTTGGGGAGTATAAAAAGAAATACTAAAATTAAAATATAATGGGCAAATATCTATGGTCTCAAAAAGTACAAGTGGTCTGGCTTCCCTCCTTCACTGCCCATACCATCACAAAAGACATGTAAAGAAAAAATGTTGCATAGCCTAAAAAGCATCATGGTGGAGCAACAGAACCATAAACACAAGTGCCCATGTATCTCTATATTCTTGCTGGGCTCTATTTTCTAGGAAAAATATGTCTGATAGCAAGTATTCACAATCAAAAACAAAGCAGCTGCACACATGTTTAAGTGCCTGTGTGTTACAGACTCAGATTTCACCAGCAGAAGGCCAGACTCTGCCACAAAGCACCTCCCAGCACTGTTACAAGCACTGTAGGTATTAGTTCATTTAATCCTAACAGGAGGGCAGTCCTATAACTCCCATTGCACAGTTGAGAAAATTAACAAATAATTTGCCAAGGTCTTGCAGATCTTTGTTATCAGGCCCCATAGGCAAGGCCAGACTTTAGAGTTGTTTTTTTTTTTTTATCCATTATACTTAATTGTCGCTAAGGTTGATAGATTACTTCATTCTAAAACTCTCTTAATTTTGTGTATATTGTGCAATGGAAAATGAAGGCCCTCATAGTGGTTGCACCTTTACACATTAGAGCTACAAATTCCCTGTCAGTAAAACGGAAAAGCAGACCTTTCCTTTCTGACCTGGAAGTTCTGACAATCTAACGGGAAAACAAGCATGAAGTCCTGTCAAAGCTGTGAGGTAATATACACATATAAGGCATATTATGTTGCACATGCTGTACACCAGTACTTCGGCCATCATCATTAACACACAAATGTAAAGAAGGTAGCAATTATTTTTGTGAACTCTGGCCCTAAACTATAATATTATAAACTACCCAGTCTGTTAATAACGCCCAACATAAAACCACCACTGATTAATCAATAAAAATCATGCAGTGGTTTCAGTAGAATGTACTCTCCAGCACCCTCCCCTGACTCGCGCTCATTAATTGCCTCATCTTATTTGATAAGTTCCCAGCATTTGCCTGAAGTGTGTTGCTCCCAAGTTACATAACAAAACTTTCTTCCAAAACGTAAGGTTCAAACCATACATTCGCTATGACATCGGAAGTTCGGTTGAGCTACTACTTCATTTTTAGTTTCCCTGACTCAACTTTTTGGAGTTTTGTAATTAACTATATTCCATTATTACTGGTCATCAATTAACTCAAAATGTTGCTGAGATGGTGAGTATGCTGAAGGAGGCGGAATTTAATGATAATTTGAGACTAGTAGGACACTAAATTTCTCTCTTGTTAATAATTAAAGTAGATAACTTATGTTTTTATTTATAGCTTCCAGAAATATCCGGCTCGTTCCTGTGCACTGCCCTGTCAGCTAATCAGCAGCTGGTCAGGATCTGACTTGGGCCATTGTGTTTTATTTTCCACACCCGCCTTCAACTGAAGCCATTAAATGCAGCCCAACCAAAAGTTAAAGCAAGTGAAGTTATCACAGCGTAGTCTCTGGAATTCTCTACGTGGCCAAATGTGTTGATGCATAAAAATATACCGAATGAAAAGGGGTAACATTTCAATTTACCTGTTTCAATCTCCCAGATGTAAACGGAGTCATCGGCACATCCAACAATTAAAAAATTCTCAACTGGATGCCATTTGATCATCCTCACAGGGAAAAGGTGCTTCCGGGCACAAAAGAGGAACCTCTTCTCCTCAAGGTGCAGGAGAGCCACGGAATGGTCACTGCACACACAGAAAACTACCTGATCACTTCTCAGCTGTGGAAAAAAGCAAAACAAAATGAGCAACATTCTTTGTAAGTAAACAGTCACATGCTTTCTTTAAAATAAAATCAGATGTCCTCCCTACTAATATAAAATGTTTATTAAGGCCCCATTCGTGAAATGGCATTTCTGCTTTGTATAGCACCTCTCCACATAATTCTCCAGAGGGGAGCTTTTAACACAGAGGAGATTTGAAACCCAACAATCTATCAGGAAGGTCAAGAGATGCAAGTAAAAAGGAGAATTCCTGGCCAGATCTACTTATAAGATAAATGAAGGACTTGACCATCACTCAGCAAATTCAGGCAGCAAGGCAGACATCGGAAATAATGCAGAATAAAATAAACCCCAGAGCTAATTTGTTGCCACAAAAACAAGCTATTTGTAGACACGAGTTTAGGCCCAAGGGTATCATCAGCTTGTATTTTCCACTTAAAGCCTCAAAAATGTGATTTGGTGCTGTTCCCAGAACTCTACAGATTCTAATCCAAACAGGAAATTCAGTGTAGACACAATCTAAAAGAGGCAAGCATTAGATAGTTCCCAATGAGTGTGCAGTCTCAAAGACACAAGGGCCAAAAATAGGCTCATAGGACAAAGATTCTTAAGATACTTTGAAAAAAGGCAGCATGTGGTTACCTTGAGCACAGTTTAGGGCAAAGACCATCCTGCTGAGCTAATCTGGGAGGAGTTCTTAAGGCAACTCTGTGCCGCCCCACCAGTCGGGCAGTACTCAGCCCATGACTGGCGGGGGGGGGGGGGGGGGGGGGGCAGGGCCCAGGAGCAGGGGAGCAGGTAGTGGCTTCTCTACTCTCTCTGTCTCTTTTCTAGTCACCTTGCTATTATGGTTGCTTCCACTGTCACAAAGACAACTAGCCAGAGTTTCAGCTGCTAAGTTTAAAGCATCAGTTGGGATCCCTTGAGAATCCCCCAGTGCCCATCATTGACCACATTCTGTGGGGCATTGGGAGCATGTTATTTTTCTTAATTTTTTAAAAAGAGACTACAGAAATCCTGAGGGGGGAAAAATCACAAAATGGCAAGTAAAGAGGGGGGGAGAGCCTGGACTTGTAGAATGGGGAAGATGGCACCGCCTCCCCAATATTACCACTTAGAGAACGTGCCCAACCCACAGCCTCTAAGTGGATAGCCTGATGTACTTCAGGGTATGCACACACACATGTGAAAACACACACAACATGTGAACACAGATCCTATGGCCACCAGTAGACATACACTAGAGACCCACACCAGGCCAATCAGATTATTTTTCCAGGCATTTGAATTGTAAAGCTAAAAGAAGTCATAGGGAGAAGCAAGAGGAAGGGCAATCAGGGAAAAGCAGACTTCTGAGGTAGGGAGGCTCAAGGAAAATCTGGGTTTCTGTATTTAAGTTCAAGTTCCGCTAGGTCCTTGCTGTAGTATTTCATACTGGAAGTAGAAAGATTGCCTCTTATGCCCTTTCAATAACCTCCCTTTTAATCTGATTTGGTTTGAAAGGGTCCTGATCCTTAGAGTTAAATTATCTAGGACTGAGGCAGAAGTAAAAGGGGTCAGAAGTGGAACTGACTTGGGCTACCATCCTGAAGCTGAGAAAAAAAAAAAAGGTGTAAAAGAAAAAAAGGTAAAGGAGGGGAATCTCAGGATTAAAAAGCATATCAAGGTATCTCAAATTAGCATATGGAAGTCGTGTGGTTTTTTTTAAGTCAGTTAGCTTTATTTCATTGTTTCATTACATTGTTTGTATTGCTGAAATACTGCTTTATTTATATTTTACTATAAAAACACTGAGTTTTGTCTAAGTTTACTTGGAGCTGATTTTTTTTATAATCTTACTATGAAGATATAATTTTTACTAGGCAATCAACTAACAAACTCAGGAAATTCAAAAGTTGGTTGTTTATATTTTAACAAATATATATGATCTATAAAGTTTAAGTTTACAATGTACAATACAATTATACCTGAAAGTATTTCCATTTGCCCAGCACAAGGTAGATGCTCATAAATTTGTTAAAGCTTGTTAATTGTTAAATAAATGAAAGAACAAATCAAAAATTTATTTAAGAAAATGTAACTGTCAATATTATAATAAAAGTACATTGTTGAAGGCAAAGTTAATTTCTAATTTGTAAATTCCTATATATTTGAATTGTTTTTACATTGAGCATCATTACTTTTATAATTTTATTTAAAAAGAAAAGATAATTCCATTAAAAATTAAGAACTAGGAGAGGAAAAAAAAAAAAAAAAAGAAAAGAATGTAAGTACTTTAGGAGAATTAACTGTCTTTTTTAAAGCCAAGAATTGACAAAACCTTTGCTTTGGAACCAAGCTATGTGTATAAGCTGAAATAATAAAATACATGTAAAAAGATTAGAAAGGAATGCATAAGAATCATCTAGTTGTACTGTTAAATGACCTTTAAATTTATGTGATATATTTTACTCTTTGTCTTAACTTACTCTGAAGTTTTCTGGTGACATCAAAAGATTTGTTACTGGGCCAGCTTCCAAAAAGAACTTATGCAAAATTTCTTCAGTAAAGATATCCCACATGATGACACATGAGTCCTGGTCCCCAGACACCAGCCAACTTTGGTCTAATTTTGAAGAGAGACCATGTGGGTAAAGTAATGAAATAACACTTTGGTGATGGCCTTTGAGAACTTTGTAAGGAAGGGAATCTGAAAAAGAACCAACACCAAAAAATACAAAAGTTATTTTTGTTCAAGAAATAGTCCTGAGATGGTCTTTTTTAGATTTGTAATGTAAGAAAACTACATAAAGAAAACTGCAAGAGCTAGACAGTCGGCTAACAGAACTAACAAACCATCCTTGGACCCTCTCAAAGGCAGCTGCCTCCTTGTACACCAGGTCTCATTACCAACAAAGCACTAATGCTGGTTGTTCAAATTGTGCTAGTTCTTTTTTTTTTCCCCCCTTTATTGATTTTAGAGAGAGAGGAAGGGAGAGGGAGAGAGAGATAGAAACATCAATGAAAGAGAACATCAATCAGCCACCTCCTGTACGCCCCCCACTGGGGATCGGGCCCACAACCTGGGCATGTGCCCTGATCAGGAATGGAACCGGTGACCTCTTGGTGCATGGGTTGATGCTCAACCACTGAGCCACACTGGCCAGACAAATTCTGCTAATTCTTTAAGGATGTTAATGAGAGTATTTGAGGCTCTGAGAGGTTAAGTGACTTGAAACCAAGTGAGAAAGCACAGTATGATGTTTAATAGCATAGTTTTGCTGCTAAATAAATCTGACTTTATTTTTCTGGGTCTATTACTCAATGGATGTGTCACTATAGACAAATTGCTATCCCTCTAAGCCACAGGTAATGCACCTGGGGAAAAAAAACTTAGATAATAATAGCATTTATTTCACACAAGTCTGCTGTTGTGTGGGATAAATGAGATAAGGTTCATAATTTCTTAGTACTGGCACTTGGTAGAAAATGGTATTTTATATCATAGTTGTACTAGAACTCAGGGCTAGTGACACCCATTTTCCACACTGTTTCTTCTTTCATTAGCTAACCCTAAAAAAAATTGGAAAGGACCACAGACAACAAACTCTCTTTATTCAAATTAAAAATGAGTCCCAAAGAGTCATTATATTAAATAGTAACTAATTATATTATATTAAATAGTAATATTATATTAAATAGTAGCTAATGATTCTTCTATTGAAGAACGATTAATAACTTCTACTCCAATAGTTCCATCCTCACTGTATATCTCCTGAGCAAAGCAAGATAAATAGTAATTCATATTAGGAGTTAGTGAAAAGAAAACCTACAAGTCAAATGTAGGTTTCTCCTTATTTCTGGGTAAGACAAATCAACCTTGGTAAAAAAAAAAAAGCTAAAGTCTTAAGATTTTTCCACTAACTTTTTTTTTTTTAACTTTTTTATTAATTTGTTTTTGTTATAGATGATTCTCATTTTTCCCCCATTGACACCCTCCTCCCTTTCCCCCTGCCCCATCCCCAGCTTTGTTGTCTATGTTTCTTGGTCATACATACATGCATGTAAGTTCTGTGGTTTATCTCTTCCCCCACAACCCCTCACCCCAGGCTTGTCAGTCTGTACCCCACCTCTATGTCTCTATGTCTCTGGGTTCATTTTGTTCAGCAGTTTGTTTAGTTCATTATATTCCACAAATAAATGAGATCATGTGATATTTGTTTTTCTCTGCTTGGCTTGTTTCGCTTAGCATAATACTCTCCATGTCCTTCCATGCCATCTCAAAGGATAAGAGATCTTTGTTTCTTACAGCTGCATAATACCCCATTGTGTACATGTACCACAGTTTTTTAATCCACTCATCTACTGATGGACACTTGGGTTGTTTCCAAATCTTAGCTATTGTAAATAGTGCTGCTATGAACATAGGGGTACATGTATTCTTTCTGATTGGTGTTTCAGGTTTTTAGGGTATATTCCTAGAAGTGGGATCACTGGGTCAAATGGCAGATCAATTTTTAATTTTTTGAGGAAACTCCATATTGTTTACCATAGTGGCTGCACCAGTCTGCATTCCCACCAGCAGTGTACTAGAGTCCCCTTTTCTCTACACCTTCGCCAGCACTTGTTTGACTATTTGTTGATGGCAGCCATTCTGACAGGTGTGAGGTGATACCTCATAGTTATTTTAATTTGCATCTCTCTGATGATTAGTGATGTTGAGCATTTCTTCATATGTCTCTTGACCATTTGTATGTCCTTTTTGGAGAGGTGTCTATTTAGTTCCTCTGCCCATTTTTTAATTGGGTTCTTTGTCTTCTTTTTGTTGACTTGTATGAGAACTCTATATATTTTGGAAATTAACCCCTTATCTGATGCATCATTGACAATTATGGTCTCCCATATAGTGGGATCCCTTTTCATTTTTGATGGTTGTTTCTTTTGCTGTGCAGAAGCTTTTTAGTTTGATGTAGTCCCATGTGTTCACTTTTTCGTTTGTTTCTGTTGCCTTAGGTGTTGTATCAGTGAAAATTCTGCCTTGTATGATGTCTGAGATTTTGTTGCCTATATTTTCTTTTAGAATTTTTATGGATTCATGAGTTACATTTAAGTCTTTTATCTATTTTGAGTTTATTCTTGTGTATGGTATAAGTTGGTGTTCTGGCTTCATTTTTTTTTTTTTTTTTTTTTTTTGCAAGTAGCTGTCCAACTTTCCCAACACCATTTATTGAAAAGACTGTCTTGACTTCAATGTATGGTCTTGCCCCCTTTATCAAATATTAATTGAGCATATTGTCTTGGGTCAATTTCTGGGTTCTCTATTCTGTTCCATTGATCTATCTGCCTGTTCTTGTACCAGTACCAGGCTGTTTTGATTACAATGGCTTTGTAGTATAACCTGAAATCTAGTAATGTGATCCCTCCTACTTCTCTTTCAAGATTTCTGTGGCTATTCAGGGTCTTTTTTTATTCCATATAAACTTTGGAGTGTTAGTTCTAGTTCTGTGAAGTATGTCGTTCGTATTTTGATGAACATTGCATTGAATTTTCCACTGACTTTCAATAACAGCCGTTGAGCTGCTGTTACTTCAGTTCATTGCTATTCATGTCTCTATTTCAGTCAATCACTGAATCACAAGTTACTAATATTTAGTAAGTCTCCAAAATAAGCTGTGAACAATGGTAGGCAAGGTAAAAAGTTTGTGTGTGTGTGTGTGTTTTAAATAAGATTTGCTTTTTACCTTTAAGGACCTTGCACTCAAGTAGGATCCAGACAATAAAAATAGAATACAGATTCATCTATATATCTCCAAATTTCAATCACCTCCTACATTTCCTTTCTTTGCATAAGACAACGTACTATAAAATTGTTTATTGAGTCGATATTCACTGTTGCAATGCACAAAGATGCATAACAGCTTATTTATATTTCATTAACAAAGAAATAAAAATTAAAACAGGAAGATACCTTTTCCTACTGATTGGTGAATATTAAAAAGTTTAATAGCATACAAGGTTGGCTAAGGTTTGGGGAAGAGGAATTTGCATAGGCTGTTAGTGGACACACAAATATCAATGCATGTTCTCTAGAGAGCATTTTTGGATATATTTTCAAAATTAAACATACACACAAAGGTTGATCCAGTAATTCTGAAAATTAATACTATAGTCACATAGATGGGCAAAGATAGTTAATTCTGCATTGTCTTAGTAGTCAAAGCCTACAAAAACTTAAGCACCCATGAATAAGATATTTTTAAACATTAAACTTTCATTATGAATCATTTAAAATGACCTCATAAAGAATGTGCTCCAAATATTTTATTAATATTTGTTTAAGAACATTTTAGTGAAGTGTGCAGAATATGTTTCCATTTGTATATACTAATTAAAAGAATGTATACTGCTATGCTGCTATATGCTTATATATGCATAGAAACTTTTGAGAAAGGTATAAAGAAACTTATTAGTTTGGTGAAGGAAGCAGGAAAATCAAGGAAGGAGAGAAACATACTTCTTATTGTATAACCTTCTGTTTGATTTTTTTATGTTTTCTTTTAATGCTAAAGCATGTACAAATTCATTAGCAAACACCAGCAAATATTTTAAGCTTCACCAATCTTCTTAGCACAGCTAGTTAAAGTTAAAACTTAGATAAATAAAATAAATAGGGTTAAATAAAATTCAATGACCTTTTAACAAAGAACCGCCTTCCAGAAGTCCTGCTTTGGCAGCACTCAAAGCCTGTGTAATGAAAATGTCCCCGTCTTCACAGCCACAGACCAGTTTATCAAGGCTCGGAACATACTCTGACGAAGTGACTACCACAGTTCCAGTTCCACCTTTAAACCCAGAGAAGTAGTCGATAATACTTTGTGACATGATATGATGTTTATCAAAATTATCTTGAAGGGTCCAGGTGGTGGTTATTGGTATCTCTAAAAAGAAAACATACAAGAAGGACAAATTTGGTGTATATGGTCATCATAGATTTGGAAAAATATTATCAAGGCACCATCCTTTGGGGGTACACAGAGGCTCTTTTGCCATCTTAATGGTGGACTATAGGCAGGGAAGTTCTCCTGCTTCCACTGTCTTCATTCAAGATGCAACTTGACTGATCCTCTGTCCTTCAAGGAGCCTCGGAGAATGAACGTGTATTAGTGCATTCATTTTAGACTTAGTCACCTGAAAAGAACCGAGAAACTGTTGCAGTGACAGAAAATGTTAGACCAATCTCATGAGTTCTCTAATTGCTTTAGAAAGAAAATACAATTGTTACAGAAAATTGGGAGTCATTTAGTTGTGTGAGGTAAATATAAGACATTTAGTTTTTAAATGTCAACATTTTTTTTTTGTGACTTGCTTTTTTATTTTCTTAATAGCATCATTTAAAAAAAAACTTTTTATGGAAAGAGAACCCACTGTATGGGAGAACATAATTGCTAATGATACACCAGATAAGGGGTTAATTTCCAAAATATATGGAGTGCTCATATAACTCAACAAAAGGAAGACAAAGAACCCAATTAAAAAATGGGCAGAGGACATACACAGACACCTCTCCAAACAGCACATACAAATGGCCAAGAGACATATGAAAAAATGCTCAACACCACTAATCATCAGAGAGATGCAAATTAAGATGACCATGTAGTATCACCTCACACCTGTTTGAATGGCTGCCGTCAGCAAATCATCACAGAAGTACTGGTGAGGATGTGGAGAAAAGGGGACTCTAGTACTCTGCTGGTGGGAATGCAGAATGGTGCAACCACTATGGAAAACGATATGGAGTATCCTCAAAAAATTAAAAATTGAACTGCCATTTGACTCAGTGATCCCACTTCTAGGAATATATCCTAAGAAGCCTGAAATACCAATCAGAAAGAATATATGTACCCCAAGTGTCCATCAATAGATGAATGGATAAAAAAGCTGTGATACATATACATAATGGAATATTATACAGCTGTAAGAAAGAAAGATCTCTTATCCTTTGTGATGACATGAAGGGACCTGGAGAGTATTATGCTAAGTGAAATAAGCCAATCAGAGAAAGACAAATACCACATGATCTCATTTATTTGTGGAATATAAAGAATAAAATAAGCTGATGAACAAAACAGACCCAGAGACATAGAAAGGAGTACGATTCAGACTGACAAACCCCAGAGAACGGAGCTGGGGGAGAGGGATGAGATAAACCAAAAAATTTATATGCATATATACAGGGACATAGACAACAATGCTGGGGGTTGGGTGGCATCAGGAGGAGGGTGTCTGGGGGCGGGAAGGAGAAACATCTGTAACAAAAATAAATTAATAAAAAATGATAAAAGATAAATTTAAAATCATCAAAATTTTATCCAGCCACAAAAAAAGTTTACAGTGGAATTGTTTACTAATGGAAACTTGTACTTAGAAATTCAAGTATACAGAACCCTGATTCCGCTAGGCCCCAGACACTGATCAGAGAGGACACAGTGATTGTGGAATAAAGGGACAAAGCAGGACGGGGTTCCTCATTTTGGATTACACAGTCTCAGGAGTTTGAAAGTTTTTGATGATTTCAGTTTTCTAGTCTAAGAAAAATTAAATAAGCAAATGCTTACTCATCTAATCACTCAAATTGCCAAATGTTTTGGTGCCCACGGTTCTATCTATGCTTGCTGTTCCAAGCGGCTGCAATGATCCCGATAGAGAAATTGGTTGAAAAGGGGTACAGCGTGTGGACATGATAAAATAAAAAATATGAATATGGTGCCAGCATTCAGTTCACTTCACTAAAAGTCACTCATGTTAAATTAATGTTAGTTTGTATTATATTGGTTGTAGAGTTGCATAAGATCTGTAAGTGATGTATGTTGGCATCCAATGCGTAGGAGTAGGTGAGCAAATGTTTCTTGTTTGTAGCCCATGTTAATCAACTTAGAGAAACACTGAGCTAATTATAAACTAGTTCTCAGGGGACATGTGATTAGGAATAAAAGTTGTCTTACCTCTGGGAGAACCATCAAACTTGGATACAGGAACATCAGGGATGTGCCACAGAGTAATTCTTCCTGAGACTTCTCCAGAGAAAAGTACCTTATAAAAAGGCTCTTTCCTTTCATTCATGTAGCCCATGACAAAGGGAAGGCTCTGGTCCAAAAACAAGAAGATAGCTTTTATGTAATAAAATATCAAAGTATAAAATGACAGCCACTGTTTTTTTGTTTTGTTTTTGTTTTTCTTTCTTTATTGATTTGAGAGGGAGAGAGAGATAGAAACATTGATGAGAGAGAACATTGACTGACTGTCTCCTGCATGTCCCCCACTGGGATTGGGCCCACAACCTAAGCATGTGCCCTGACCAGGAATCAAACTGATGACCTCTTGGTACATGGGTCAAGGCTCAACCACTGAGCCAAACCAGCCGGGTAACAGCCACTGTTTTTAAATGGAGGAACAAAACTTCATAGATGAGCTAAACTGTTTCCATTTTCTTTCCTATTGTTGCAAAATTTTCAAGTACTTCTAGTGTCTTATTCAACTGAAAACATTTTTATAAAATAAAAACAAATGGCACCAGCTAAACTTCAGAGAGTTAAGAATATCTAACATTTATTGAACATGTTCTGTTTATGTATTACATATACTGTTAGGTGCTTTACATGTATTCAGTCAAATAATTCTCTCAATAATCCTGTGAAGTTAGCACTATCATTGTGTTCACTCTACAGATGAATAAACTGAGAGTGAAGATTTGATTTATCTACGGTGATATAGACAGCAGTGGGCTTGAGTTCATGTCTTGATAACAGTACTAGACTGTCCCCTAAGAAGACCTGATTTCTTTATGTTCCAATTGTCAGTTAAAATAGAAACAACTAATATTTGTACAGTGATTTTGTGTAATTAATATATTTCCCACTTTCTGTTGACCGTTTTCAGCTTCAACATACTTGATTTCAAATTTCCTAAGTGGCCACAATGAAGAACAAAACTGAGTCCATAAATTGTTAAAATATGTATTATATATATGTCTTTAATATACATAAATATATACTGTATAGGTGTAGTTTATATCAGTGGTATATGTTTAGAGAGACAGAGAGAGAGTTACAATTTTGGGGTATTGGACACCAGTGCTCTGAAGGTTATGCTCTCACTAGTGAACGAGGCTAGACTCTCCCCAGGACCCCAGTGCAGTGTAGATGTTCTTTGGATAGACTTGTATATAGAGGTTATGCTCAAGGGGTCAACATGACTAAGAGAGTAGAAAAACAAAAACTACTTCTGACTTATAATTAAAAGGTGCACTGAAAGGAAAGCCAAGTGCTGGTGCTAGAACTAAAGATGTCTAAGATAGTCTTATTGATGTGATCACTTTGTAAGTTACATAAATGTCTAACCACTATGCTGTACACCTGAAAGTAATGTAATACTCAATGTCCACTGTAATTAAAAATTTTTAATTTAAAAAAAAAGTCTAAGACAGTGATGGTACCTAGTCAGAAAATATGTTTGAAGGTCTGAACTTAGATATATTAGTGAAAAAATTTTATAATGTATCTTTAGAGAATATTACGGGGCAAAATGCTGCTATATTTTATCCTCACAATAAAACTACAAAGTAAGTAAATATTGTTATTATTCCTGTTATAGGGATAAGGAAACTAAAATAGGAAGAAAATAAGAAACGAATGGAAGACGATTCAAACAAGGTATGTAACCCTCTATAATCCCAAGAAATGAGAGCATTGCAGAAGAGAAAACACTTCCTATGAAGTCAGTTCTTAAAATAGATCTTGTTTGGTTTTGCCATTCAGCAGGCAATGTGCCCTCCTAGAGTTCGCATAGCCATCATCATCGTAGGTGCTAGAGTGGTATTGATGACACTTGGTTAAATCGGCTTCTCAAACTCTCTCAACCTTTAGGAAGAACCTGAGAATTGATCAGTCCAATTCCCACAAGATTTTGATGAGAAGGGAGCTGCAGAGAGGCTGGCAGGGTACTCGTCGGGGGGATCCCTGCGCTGCCCCTCAGCCACGCTCCCCCTGCCCTGCGTCCCCGCCCTCAGCTTCCGCCCTGCTACTCCTCACTTGCTCACACCCACTCCTATGCCTCCATCCTCCTCCTTTCTGGAAGTTCCCTCTCCAGTTCTGAATTCACCTGAGAACCTGCTCAGAGACCCTTAACATCTGAATTCTGATTGTTCCTCACAGGACCTAGTACCCAGTACAAGGACTACCCATCCCCCACGATGTAATAAAATAGTCATTAAGAGTGAATTCTCTTGGGCTAACTGCCTGGGTTCAAGTACTGGTTTTAGCACATACTCTCTTAAAGGAGCCAATTACTTGATTTAGACAATTTACTTAACTTCTTTATGTTTTATGTTCCCTAACTATGATGAAGGCTAATAAAGGCACCTACTATGTGGGATTACTGGCAGGATTGAGTTGATAAGGTAAGTGCTTAGAATGGTGCCAGATATGTGGTACATAGTAAATATTAATCATTCTTATTACCCACTTTCAACAATTAAGAAACTCACTCCAAAGACCCATGATCAGACTCTTGGGACAAACTACCTGGGTTCAAATCCTGGGAATTAACCTCTCTGGACATCAGTTTTAAAATGGGATCATGGTGGAAATGGATGTAAATGAAGTAGTGTGTGTTTGACAATAAGAACTACCGTCAGCATCATTATGACTACTCTTAGTTCATGAACTCAGATTTCTTACCTGAGATCCTCAGGTTGTTTCTACCCCAGTTACTCCCCTCAGCACTGCAGACTCCATCCTCACCTAAGCCCTGGGGAGCCTCCTCATCCTAACAGCCAGGAGCTCTGCACAGGCCTCAGCAGCTATGACTTGAAGCTAGGGAGACTCTCATAAAGCTGCTGAAAGGAAGGGGGAGTCCCCATTCTTGCTACTGCAACTCCATCATCAGATATGTCCCTCACATCACAAATGGTAACCCTGAGAGCATGTTGCTATCAAACCTTGAGATTTAATTCTATAGTATAACTCAAAAAAAAAAAAAAAAAAGTCCATGCCAGGCTGGTATGGCTCAGTGGTTGAGCATCGATCAATGCACCAAGAGGTCGCTGGTTCGATTCCCAGTCGGGGCACATCCCCAATGGGGGGCATGCAGGAGGCGGCCAAGTGATGTTTTCTCTCATCGATGTTTCTATCTCTCCCTCTAACAATCAATAAAGAAAAAAAATTTTTTTTCAAAGTCCAGTCAATACTACATGTTCACACAGCACCCTTTCCTAAGCTCATTTGGGCTATCACACTCATCTCCCCACTCCACCAAAAGGCTTGTATTACCTTCTAACTGCAAGAGAGACAAAGAAGTCTTATAATTAGTAAATAGAGGTGATGTTTTGAGTGAGGAGAATGATATCTGACTTTCTTTTTTTGGCTGGATAAAGGGTAAGTAAGAGCCTAGGAACAGGTAGACGATCTTCTTTTATTTTCAGATCATTCGATTCCCATTGCACTGATTTCCCAGCACTGCCCACCCTCAAAATACAGAAACAGTTGCAGTTGTCTAAAAAACAGTTATTGATAGAAGACCCATAAATCTTTATCTTCTCATTTTCAGAAACAAAGCAAGGTAGCTTCCTATAAGATTAGTATTTTTTTTTTTTTTAGTAATTTTGTCATTGCTATACGTTGTCCTGGTAATCATGTATAGTGTTGATATTTGCAGTAGACTAGGAGTGCCTAAAGGATACTATTTCATAGCTGTTAGGGGAAACTGTGCTTTATAAACATGCATTCAGGAGGGAAAAAGGAAGTCACCAAAAATGCCTTTTTGAGTAGCGAAAACGCTGCCTTTGCGACCGTGGTGGGAAACTGATGCAAACGAAGCAACATAGCTCTAGTCCTGATGCCCCTGGAGATGCTGCTGAAGGCCATAATCCGAGGCTTGCCTATGCCCCGTGGTACCAAGGCTTCTGATTTTTGGCTGACAGCTTCTTAATCAACTTCTTTGCAACAAAACCTCATGGATATGTTTAGCGGAACAATCACTGAACTGTAGGCTTTCCAACAGCTATGCTGTTTAATTAAGCAAACCGTCACTGTAACAATTAACATGCCTCCTTGGTTGGCACATCAGTAATTCAGAACTCCTCCATTCTTCATGAGATACCTTTTGGATAAGTAACTGATGACTAAGTCCAATAGGTTAAAAAAAAAAAAAAAGAACAAACACTTCGGTTAACACTAATAAAATAACTGCTTAAAATTTCAGGCTTCATAGTGTGTTAAAGGTATAACCCAGCCAAGTAAAAGCTCACAATTATATCCTCATTTTTCTTCTAGGAAATCATATTTGTTTTAATGAGAAAATTTATTCAGAAGAAGAGCTAAATACATGTGAAAATGATCTCAATATATTTTTTTTTTAAGCAGGATATAAACCATTTGATAAAGTTCAAAAATTAGAGTAGGTACATCAAAATGTAAATGTTGCATCAAATCATCTATCAAAAGGGTCAGTGAAAAGTGTGTGTGTGTGTAGAGAGAGAAAGAAAATATGGCAAAATGTTGACAACTGGTAGATGTAGGTAAAGGGTTTATGAGTGATGATAATCTTGCAACTTTGTGAATATTTTTTAAAATTTCTGATTAAAATAAGTAAATACACATAATAAAAATATTTACAGTGAACATTTATGGCGTTGGAGTTGAATTAATTTTAATTCCTCCTTTCTTAAGCATTTGTATTTTTTCCATAGTAAATATGTATTGTTTAATCAGACTTGAAAAAATAGATTTTGTAAAGGCAAAGTTCTATCTTTAGTAGCCATTAACAGTTAGATTTGATTTTCTCATTAACAACTTGATGCGAGTCATCAATTTTTTTCAAGTCTGACTCTGTTCCAGACAAAACAACACTCATCTGAGTAACGGAGTGAAGCAACCCTGAGCCCCTGTGTTTTTGCGTTACCTTATTTTCCTGCACAGAAGTCGAGCACAGTAAATGAGAATAAATGGTCTCTTTAAGTACTCTTCCATCAGCAGGGTAGATGCTTTTTGAAAGCCCACTGCATGGCAAAAAATAAAAAGCCAAGTTTAGAACTTCGGGGTTCTTTATTCGTTTTTTTTCTTTTCCTTCCCACTTTCAAAAGCCGGATGGCACTATTCAAGTTTCTAAACTTTAGTTAGAAATTGTTGGGTTAATAATTACAAGTGACTTTTTGAAAACCCAGCACCAGCTGTACAAGTTATACATGGTTAATCTCATGCCTTCATCCCCTGCTGTTCTATACAAAGGCTGAAGCCTACCAAGCCCAGAGTAAATCTTCCAGTGCCAAAGTTGTTTTGTTCTGGTTTTTGATCATGGGCAGCATGCAGGGACTTTTCCATAATAAACCTCCCAAAGTTCATTTCCAACCTGAATGTTTTGTATGCCGCTCCCATCTGAGCCCACCTGTTCAGCAGCTGATAGATGTAACTGTGACCATCTTCTGTCCAGATGATGATTCTGTGGGCCGCAAGCACCTCTCCACCGGCAAAGAACTGCCCGCTTTGACTGACTTCAGTCCGCAGAAGGGAAAAATCACAATAATCGTAAATCTGAAACACAAAATGAATGCTGCACGTTAACAAAAGCTTCCAATCTAATCTGCCAATGAGATGAAGGATAAACTGTGCTCATCAAGACTATTTTGATGACAGTGTTAATGCAACAACATATTAAGTACTAATGATAGCTCACACTGTACTCATGTATCAAGATACCCTATGAGTATGTATTTTTTCTTATTTATCCTAAGGTAGGTTTCAGTAGGTAAACTTTATTTGGCTAGTGTGTTTATTAAGCATAGAGAGATAAAAAATCACAACATCTCTATATAATTTTAATCTTTCCATATGAATAGTCCAACTTTAACATTTGAAAATGTATGACACAGAGAATCTAAATAGTATAAATTATGTTAGACCATCAACTTAGCATTGTTGTTTTCAAATATATCAGCATATCAGTAAGTCAATATAGTGCTGTTAACTGAGCCCAGTATGAAACATTAGAGGAAAAATGGATGCTATCAAGTGATGGTAACTTAGCCTTTCTTTCTTTCCTTCTCTCTCTCTCTCTCTCTCTCTTTACATTCTTGGAGACATCAGTGAATATATTTACAAGAAAGGAATGTATATTCCCTAAAAAAAAATGTAGTGACAAAGTGGAAAAAGAAAAAAAATCTATAAGTAAGACCAATTTATGTAGGTGAAAAGTATTAGTTTTCTTTTTAATTCTAAAGGGCAAGCATCAACTTTTGAAAATAATCTAGAGATAAATGCTCATTATAATTATGGCTTGTTGTTAATAACATGAGCATTTACTGTTACATGTGTAACCTGAGAAGCAAAGCAGCTGAATGTGAGGAATGGAAAACTAATAAAAGTCAGCCTAAAAGATAGGTCATCTGTGCTCTGGTAATAATATCATAAAGAGTTTATATCACATTGTAAATTATATTCTTATAGCTGTTGCACTGAAGAAGAAAAAATTTTAAAATTACATTTGTATTTCATTGGCATTTTATTATGTTATTTTATAATACCTGCCAACATTTAGAAAATACCACCAAAAGAAGTCTCTCCGTATATGTGCAAAATCTTATTGTCCGGCAGTTCAGCGAGTCAAGAAATTTGGATTCTTTTTCATAGACATCTTGCTTTTCCTTCAAAAGAAATTTAAAAAAAATTAGTACTTGTTCTAGGTAATTTCTATGTGACTGTATCAGATTTGCTCCTCCGAACACCTGAAGTAGATCACACCATTGTAATAAAATGAAAAGTACCCTGGTTTCCTTTTTCGTTTTCTGAACTAAGAAGTTACTTTGCAGAAGACCTCATGAGCAGGAAACCCACTGGGATTTAAGGATTCATTATGCAAATACATTTAACAAACATTCTGAGGGGGACTAGGCTAGATGCTGAGAATGTTAAGAATAAGTTACTGACATTCAGAAATGGCAAAAAGACACCCCCCCTCCCCCAGGAAAAAAAGAAAAATAATTAATAAAACAAAACAAAACCCTGCAGTATCTTAATTTTTAGAATAGAAAAATACACAGAGTGCTTTTAAAAGATAGAAGAGTGGCCGGCATAGAATATACAAAGTACTATATTCTCAATCAGCTTCTGAAAATGCTGGATGAGTGCTTCTTGGGCTGAGTATGCCAATACAAACTTTAGGCTTCCTCAACCAGGACATTCCTAAGGAGGGCCCAGAACTCCATGGGGCAGCTGACCCAATTTCATCACCAGCAAGCACAACAAATACTATGACTGTTCTTTTGTACAACACCTCAACTTGCAGCCTACAACCAGGGAGCAGGGGAATAGACTGGACCCCAAGCTGGACATAGTCATCTCTCTGCTGCTGCTCACACACACAGGAGAAAGACAGTCTTCTGCTGTAAGAGACAGAATAATATTCTTCTCTAATTTTATTTTATATTATTTTATTTTTTTATTAATCCTCACCCAAAGATAGATATAAATATAAATATATAATATATATAATATATATATATATATATATATATATATATATATATAAAATAGTGGAAGAGAGGGAGAGAGGGGAAGAGAGAGAGAGAGAGAGAGAGAGAGAGAGAGAGAGAGAGAGAGAGAAACATGGATGTGAGAGAGACACATTGATTGGTTGCCTTCTGCATGTACCCGGACTGGGGTTGGGGAATCAAACCTGCAGCCCAGGTACTTATCCTTGACTGGAAATCTAACCCGAGACCCTTAGGTTCATGGGCTGACACTCTAACCACTGAGCAACACTGGCCAGGGCTACACTTTTTATTTTTAATTAAAATGTAATCTGTGTGTGTGTGTGTGTGTGTGTAGATACAAACATTTGTGTGTGCATGGAGAAACAGGTGGAAGGACACAGCCCACCTGTTATCAAGGCCCACCCCTGGCACTGGAAGCAGGAAGAGCCAAGGAAGAAGTGCACGGAGATAAAATTTATACTTTCCTATATTATTTGAACTCTAAAAATAAGCATGTGCTATCCCTATAATTTAAACTATTTCCATACACATAGAGAAAAAAGGAGTTTCCCAAGCCAACCTGAATGCTGTTGATAGATGAAGAGAGATCCCACACTTTGAGTTCACCAGTAACTGATACCACCAAGAGAGAGTCTTCTGCAAAAACAACAGTTGCATGTAAGCTGACTACTGCAATAACTGGTTGATGGGAAGATCATCTATTTCACAGTTATTTAGGGATTATGCAGGGCTCTGCAGATGGGAAATATTCAGCTTTGTTGTTTTCTTAAACAAACATTTGAGATCAGGTTTTACATTTGTTTTAAAATTTCAAAGTGGCCCCATGTAAAAGGAGAGCAGTACTAAAAGCAAAACCACAGAAACACCATCACGTTGGCAGTATCAGCTTCCTATTGCAGACACCAGCACAGAGCCAGCCTTCTTGTTCCTGTGCAGTTGCTCATTACAGAAACAAACTTCTCTTCACTGGTCACAGCAGGACAAAAGTTCCAAGAGCCCCGCTAACACTCAAGAAACCCATTCTTATCATTTTTGAAAATGTACCCAGCAAAACTGGGTTGTGGAAACCCAGGTTCTCCTCTTTCCACATCATTTTCACCTCTTGCTGACTTTCCAACGACTTGAACCACTCTCCTGGGGGTTCCCAGTTCTTCTTGATCTGTCTTGGGGAGCCATCCCCACTGACAGGTACACATAAAGAAGCATTCTAAACTCTTGCCCAATAACTTAACAACTAGTTCAAAAGTGACGTTTTTATATGCAATCTCTTAGTGTTACATATTACCCCACCAGTACCTTGAATTCTCATGGAGTGAACGACGCACATGCAGTTGATCCAGTCAGGAGACTGGGATGATGTGAAGGTATGAACAAGAGCCAAGGTTTTGGCATCAATTATAAGAATGTCTTGATATTCTCCACAACATAGAAGCCAGCCTTCTCCTGTCATCCGGAATGAGCAGTGGTAATACTATGCAAATGGAATTCAAGCAAAAAAAAAAAAAAAAGATTATCACTAGCAATTAACATAATTTCGGCTGTGGTGAAAACTTCTCTGGATTTTAATTTTATCATCTATTCAATTAAGGTATTAGACTGAATAGCATCTACAATTTCTTAAAGTTATTCCATACTTCTAAGGTGTTGATTTTGCACGTTAGCCTCATATGTATTGCATGATTTCTTTAGAGAAAGGGGGAATGAAGAAGGGATCTTATTTCAAATCATGGAAAGCTCACAAGTATCTTATCTCTGGAGTACTGTGTAGAACTAAACAAGAACAAATACCAGCTTCCTTATTCTAGCAACGTTGCTACATGTTAAGAAGAAATAAAAACGTTTGGAGAGCATTTGAGGAATTCTGGTGCCGAATACATTTTGAGAACAAACGGCTTTTATTTAAAATGGAATAATATCGTCTACCCTTGACGCTCTCGCTGCCCCGGGTTTTGGTCCCAGAAGAGAGGTGGTGCGTGTTGCGGTGCAGGTCATCAATGCTAAAAGCGATGAGTGAAATACGAAGAACTGTCAGCACCGCTGGGATCATGCGACCACCTTACATACATGTTTGGAGTCTATCTACCAAAAGCCAAACCTGTTCTAAATACTGTGAAACGACTGCCAAGGCTATGACTATGCTGCTTGTTCTCTTCATGGGCACAAAATTCAGAAAACAAGAATCTATCCACCCAAAAAAGGTTAAAAATGGAAACAAGGGGGAAAAAACCCTTTTGTTTTGCTATGAAATAACACATCAGTAAAACCTAATCTTTTGTGTGTTTGTGTATGTGTGTGTGTGTGTGTTGTGAATGTACCTAAGGGAAAAACAAAATAAAACTGTCTTTCAAAGTTGTCTATGCTGAAAGATATAGAAATAACAGAATCAGAAAAAAAAAAAAAAAATGACCGAATAATAACTTTGGGGGAAGAAAAATGCCAAAATAAAAGATGATGGACAATATTATACCAATGACAAAATAAAACATTCAAGGAAAAAAATAACCTCCAAAGACATTTTTTCAAATGCGTGCCTAGTAACGCCCTCAGGGCGCTGTAGAACCCAGAACCGTTCTGAAGGAAGGTGCCGTACTTACACAGATTGCAGTGTGCCTGTAAGGGTGGGTGGTCCTCTCCACGCACTGCCCATTGGTGACATTCCAAACACACATCTCCCTAGCAGAGACAACCTCGCATTATTCTCTGTCATTTCCACTCAATTGGCTGGAATAATTTTTGTGCCACCAAGTTTTCTTAGTGCTGCACTTAACCGCGGCCTGATCATTTATGTGGCTTTTTGTTACAGATTGCTGGGCAAGAGAATGTCGTGGTCATTAGCAGGGATGACATACTGTATCTGTGTCTTTTTGTTTGGGTAATTACACCCTGCCGCCAGCCTACACACCTTACCTGAGTGCCAACCTGACCTACAACAAATTGGGGGGATACAGTTATCACAGCCTTTTGGAGTGACAGTACAACAGTCTTTCCATAGAAACTGCATCCTCTTGAAAAAGGTTGATTTCACTGAACTTAAACCACACATTGTGAACAGCATAATGCATCAAATCTTGTGGGGCCGAGGAAGCGTGTTTTGTAAAAATAAACAGTGCCACCAAGAGGCCACACTTGGTCTGTCATCCATGGGGTTTATTTCTTTGCTTCTGAAATCCTGAAATCATCCTTGCCACTTAATGTTTAAAAATTCCCATTGTTTAAAAAAAAACTCTGAGTTGGTTACATACATGTTACTACAAAGAGAAAGACACAGTTCTGAAATATAGCTGTAAAACACATCTAGTGTAAGGAAGTTTAAATCTCTATGATTTCCGTTCACGAAAACCAGGATGGGCCCTGGTCAGTTTGGCTCAGCGGTTGAGTGTCAGCCTGAGGACCAGAGAGTCCCAGGTTTGGTTCCTGCTAGGGGCACGTACCACAAAAAATAAATAAAATAAAAAATAAAAATAATGGCTGTTTCAGAATTGTTCGGTAATATTCTTCTATTTTGACAGTTTCAAAACATAAGCAAAATTTTTCATGGAAGCAATGAAAATTTTATTGGCTTTAAGGGAAAAGCTGCTGTTAAGAAACAAAATATGGACTGATATTGTTTTTATTTTGTGATTTGCAGACTCTGTTTTGCTTTTCTAGCCAAACACTGGGACTCAATCTTCAAATCAGTGATTCTCAACCTGGGGCAATTTTGCCCCACAAAGGATATTTGACAGTGTTTAGAGATCTTTGCGTTGTGAACACACTACTGGCATCTAGTGGAGAAAGAGCAGGAATGCTGCTAAACGTCCTGTAATGCGTAAGGTGGTCCCCCCAACAAAGAATTCCCCAGTGGTCCAGATGTCATTAGTACTGTGGTTGAGAAACCATGTTCTAGAAAGAAAATATCCATGTTTTTTTCTCTCTCTGTTAATATTCAACCTATTCCAAAAATAACTTGAGGCATGCAACTCAATAATGGGGGTGGGGAATCTGCATTCCTGTGTGTGTCTGAAAATATAAGACTGATATTAATGTTTCTAGACTCTCTGCTTCAAATATGTTCTTTGAACTAGCAGCATGAGCATTGCCCTGGAATATTCCAGCATTTTCCAGGAAGGTGTTGGAAAATGCAAGTTCTTGAACCTCAGCCCAGACCTACTAAACCCATTTCCCCAGCAGTGGGGCCCAGAAATGTGTATTTATTTATTTATTTATTTGGTACGTGCCCTTAGCGGGAACCAAACCTGGAACTCTCTGGTCCGCAGGCTGATGCTCCAACAGCTGAGCCAAACCAGCCGAGCCAAACCAGCCAGGGCTAGAAATGTGTATTTAAATAAACTGTGCAGGTAATCTGACACAAACTGGTTTGAGGAGCACTCCCAGCAAGCTTCCAACACTGGGTACCTGCTTATCTCTTTAGTCTCGTCTCTTGCTAGTGCTTAAAAGTTTTATTAATAAGTAAAAGCCCTCTTTATCAATGCCAAAACTTTTTGTCTTGATGTTTTATTAACTACATATATTTGTTAATATAAAATATTAATACAGCCATATCAATCTTATTTTGGTTAGTATTCACCTGATAAATATTTTTCCATCCACTTACTTTTAACTTTTCTATGTCCTTAGGCTGTGTGTGTGTGTGTGTGTGTGTGTGTGTGTGTTTAATCGTCAATGTTTGTAATTTAACTGAAGGGCTCATTTACATAATTTAGGTTGCTGTTCTATTCCAAGTTATTTCAGCTATCTTATTTTGTGCTTTCTATTTGGCCCATTTATTTATGTCTTCTTTGGATTAATCAATGTTGTTGGGTGTGTTTTTTTTCTTTTTTTAAGTTGGGTGTTATATATTCTGTTTCTTTTATTTTTATTTCTTTTCTCTGTTATTTAAGCAGATACCCTGGAAATGTCACCATGTACATCTAGTTTAAAGTTTCAAGTTAATCAATATCTTTACCCATCTCTAAACCACCTGAACGTGTGGACTCTGATCATTACACTATTATTTGTAATTGTTGATTAGAATAGTGTGGGGGTGGGGTAGGGAGTGTATACAAATAGTATTGTGTCTTATAGTCCATGTTTATTTGCATTTTAAAAATATTTGCTGAATTTTGTTCAATATTTCTTCTTCCACCTGAGATTTTCCTTCTCAAATCATTGTTCTTACTGAAGAATTTAGAATATTGTTACTTATAGAGGGTTCCTTGGCAGTGGTTGAAAATTTTATTAGTATTTGACTTAAATGTTACTATGTTGCTTTTGAAGATATTTTTCCTAGAGATATACTTCTAAGTTGATAGATACTTTCTCTCAACTTTTTGAAGATGTATTTCACTGATATCTAGTTTCATTTTACTGTTGAGAAGTAAATTCACAGTTTAATTAACATTCCTTTGTAAATAATGCTTTTTTTCTCACTGTCTACTTTCAGGATCTTCTCGTTTATTATTTTATTATTTTATTTTTGGTGTTCTTCTGTATCATCATCAGGTCTCCAATTGTTTATTTCCTTTCATTTGCCCTAGAATTCACTGGGATTCCTGAATCCTAGGATTTACGCCTACACATGTAATACTTTGAAAAAAAATTGAAAAACTGAGTCATGAGGCAGTTTTATGTGTCCTCTGATCATCTTAGAGGCAGAAAGGCTAAGCCCCTGCCACTTCCTGGGACTTCTGAAAACTAAAAAAAAAAAAATCATTGTTGTTCGGGGAATAATAGGCCAACCCAAGTAATTTTAATAATTTCAAACATATTAAATTAGAATATGCTAAGCATGCAGTAGCTCTAAGAAATATAGATGCAGAAGAAGTTTTGGACATCAAAGGAACAGAGTTCTAGAAAATTCAAATCATATTGGAAAAGGAAGACCAAACCAGACTCCTTGACTATTTAATAAACATATTTACTGGATTCATACAGCTGAATTCATCAATCATCAAGAATATGTCTATTAAGTCTAGGTTCTATTTTGGAGCTAGACCACTATTGGCAAAAACTTCAATCTGAAAATCAGTAACATTTCAGATCTATTTCCCACTTAGCTGTTATTTTTCTCAATTCTCATGTAGTCTCAGAAACCCTCCCCTTCAACCAATTCTCTAGAGTGGGAATACATATTTCAGCATGGGTAGCAGGCTCTGTGGCAGCCCTATGGTATAAAAGCTACTGGCAAATGTTAAAAAAGAATGGACTAAGGCATTTCACTTTAGCCTTATCCAAAATTCAAATCTCTCTTAGTATAACAATTATGGGAATAGGTACTGTTTTGGTAAAAGCTATGGGAATAAGTACTTCTTTGATATCAATTCCACTAGCCGTTTTGGTATAAACTATTTAGTTTCTCCAAGTTGGACACTTGATTCCTCATTCTTTCAGTTCTCAGAATTTAGAGCCATGTAATTTCTCCTGGAATTAAAAAGAGAAAAGCAGATGTTCTCTTGTTTCAACCAGTAACTCAATCCCTCATTCACAAATCCATGCTGATTCAATTTTGCATTCTTCAGTATACTTTGGCAAGTAACTCATCAGTGGAGTCTAGTTCCTCATAGTTCTTCCATCCGAGGGGTTTCTCCTACAGCCAAGTCCTACTTTATTGAAACAAACCTCACTTTTATGAAACAGAACCAAAACCACAGTCTGTGTTCCTTTCCCTGCCCTCTCCCACAATTCCCCTTACAATGGAATACTCTCTGTTCACTGTTTAATGATTTCAGACAAGTGTACCACATGAAGATTGTAACTACGGAGTTGTTTCACAATACTATGAAGGCTTGGATGGGTTTGCTTAAGAGCTCAAAGTGAGTTGCTACATGAAGAGAGACAAGCGCTCAGACTTTCCCATTTTCAGTTCTATAATAGATGACATTTGCCAGTATCCTTTACACGGTGTGGCTGCCAGATAGCCCGAGACACACGCTGGGATGTTTAAATGTTGGGAGTCATAGTATTGATTACATTCCTTGAGACCATCACACAAATTACTCAACCATTTCCTAATCTAAATGTTTCTACGTGTAAAAGGAATGTGTTAATCACAAAGTTTCCCTTCAGCCCTAGAGTTCTGCACCCCATCAGTTAGGCAAAGTCCCACACATCATACCTACCCATTTTCGTCAGCACTAACGACATAGGGCTGTTTAGAGAAGTCTCTCGCTCTTGCCAAACATGTTACTGAAGCCGAATGACCAAACAGAAGTTCTTTTGCTGAAATCTGAAAATGATGAAGGTAAGCTTTTATTTCATTTATTTTTTCTTTATTGATTTTAGAGAGAGGGGAAGAGAAAAGGAGAGAGAGAGATGGAAACATCGATGAGAGAGAACATCAATTGGCTGCCTTCTGCATGCCCCCCACTGGGGATCTGGCCCACAACCTGGGCATGTGCCCTGACCAGGAATCGAACCAGTGAACTTTTGGTGAATGGGTTGATGCTCAACTACTGAGCCACACCAGCCAGGCGAAGGTAAGCTTTTAAAGAGCTGTAAGCTTTTAAATTAAAAATATAAACATGACATTACATATCTATTCATAATTCTGTTAAGAAAATCCTCTTGTATTATGTTTTTGCTGTACAAAAGTCGGGAAAACTGATACATGCATATCAAACTCCACAGCACAGTAAACTTCTAAATAAAGGAACTATGTTGTAATTTTTTTTGTTTGTTTTTGGTTTTGTAGCTATTTTGAAGCCTAGAAGGTTGCCAGACCAGTTTTACAACATCTAGGTTTTGAATACAAATAAGTCAGTATTGATGTTTATTATGCACAAAATGTGCCTCAAATGATAGTAAAATATTAATATGCTAATTTCAGAATTCAGAAATAAATTTACAAAACACAAACAAAAGATTACCCTTTCTGTAACCATATTATACCTTATTTGACTTCCTGCCTTTGAAATAGTTAACTTTTTCATATTAAAAATAAAATTGCAACTAAGCTATTATTTAAAATACCAGTGTTTTCCTCCAATCTGTGAATTTAAAAATATGGCTCTAAAGGATTAATCCTTCCATTATTTCAAATGTGAAAGAAGTCTATTCCTCATTATTTTATAAAACTTAATTATAACAATCAAACTATAATACAAACAAAAAATGCAAGATCCCCTAAAATGAAGGAGTTAAATGTTTAGTCATTAAAGGACTAAACATTTAATTTGAATAACTAGAAAATGTGTGGTTAATAAAATCTGTCTCATGATTAATAAAAATCCAATTTCCTAATGAATTAATATTCATGGTAATCTTGTTTTTGAACTATGCAAACATAGATGTATGTAGACGAAAACCCAGTCATAGTAATGAGAACAATGATTTCATAACATAATTGTTCTCTACCCTCATATTATTTCTATCCTAACCAGAAATATTTATTTTAAAAAGTCTGTTATCAGACTAAATTTCCAGTGCTACAAGGAGGGTTTTGTGGTTGATTAGAATCACTTACCACCCAAGTCCTGGAAAATTCAGAAGGTATCATCTCAGAACAATGTAATATGTTCCATCGTCACACTTGGAAATACATACCCCTAGGAATTTAACCCCATTTCCAACATATTGTAGGCCAGATTAAACAATGAACTGGGGCACATCTACAACATTCCTACTCCAGAGAAAATCCTCTATCGACAAAATATCAGAATGGAACACCACTGCTTTTCATATGAAGTCCTCATTCTGCTACCAAATCCCCATGTGTAGTTGAGTAAGCTATGACACTTCATTGTAGTCTCCTAATTTTATCGTATTTTAGAACTGCTGTGAAGAATAATAAAAAAAAGTCTACAGTCACCTCTAGTCATTGTCATGATGAAAGCCAGGGGACCTTTACTTCTGTTCAGTGGCTCTCCCTTGTTGAAGCACGGCCCCCAACCCTTACCCAGGTACTTCCAATGGCACACAGACAAAGAGGAGAGAACACAAGTTGACCACTATCTATCAAATTCCAGCCACTGATGCAATGATGAGCAGTGTTTATCCTCACTTCAAAGGTAAGGACATTGAGGTTCAAAGAATGTAAGTTGTTTGTCCAAGAATACCGAGTTGATAAATATGAACTAGAACTTGACTCAGATATCTCCATTCTTTCTTTCCACACAATATCAATATTCTTCTTTTTGTCATCATTGTATTTAATTGAATATTAAAGAGAAATAAAACAAAACATTCCAATTCTAAGGGAAGATATCTAAGAGGATGTTCAACTCTTTTTTTTTTTTTTTTTTTTTTTTTTTTAGTGCTTAAAGGTGTGATGAATACCAGCAATCAATACCAGAAGACCCAAGTGAGAAAGTTCCTAGCATGGGACTTGGAGAGGCTCCTCATTAGGGGAAGAAAGTTCCAGGGAAACTAGAGGTTTCTGGGAGTCACATCCTGCGTCTATGAACAGCAAGCATAATCTGGGCATGTGAGAAGCCCGGAACAGAGAGCTCAGTCTCCAGGTCCCTTGTTCCCTGCCATCCTATCACCTACGAACAGGGAAAGACTGAGATATGCACCCCATCCTCATGAATATTTGGATACCCCAACATGGCCAGAACTTAAATCACCTTCTTTCCCTCCCTGTTCCTACTCTCTAATCCCCTCTATTCTTTATACAAATACACAATGTCATTATCCCACCAATACCACTCATCACCCAAACCCCAAATCTAAAAGGTATCCTTGACTATTTCTGTTCCTCTCTCCTATATTCAACTGTTGCTCAGTTCTGTCTATTCTCTCTTCTTAACAGCTTTCCAGGGTTCATCTCCTCTTCTTTCCCATTGCTGCTGATTTTGGTTCCTGCTCAAAAACTCACTTGACTAAAGTCCCATAGAAGCCTGCTAACCCATAATCTCAGTCCCGTATCCCATCTCCCCTTCCCTCCAATATGCCCTTCACATTAATACCCAGTGATATTCTAAATCACAAATGTAACAACATAGTATTATGTCATCACGCCCTGGCTGGATTGCTCAGTGGTTAGAGCATCAGCCCTTGGACCAGAGAGTCTCAGGTTTGATTCCAGTCAAGGGCATGTGCCTCAGTTGTAGTCCGATCCCTGACCCTGGTCAGGGTCATGCAGGAGGTAAACAATCGATGTGTCTCTTTCACATCAATGTTTCTCTCCCTTCCCCCTCCATTCTTCCCACTCTATCTAAAGATAAATGCAAAAATATCCTCAGGTGAGGATTAAAAAAGAAAAAAAGCATTATGTCATCTCCTTGAATAAAACATCCTCAAAACCCTTAATAGCACCACTTTTAATTAGCATGTAGTTAGCTCTTGCTACTTAAAAAAAATAATCTAAACCCCTCAGCATGTCCAATTCCAAATTGAGTGTGCTCCATCCCTAACAGATGTGTCTATCACCTTTAATTTACCATCTGTCTTCCAGGCCTACTCAGCTACTTCAGCCAGTTCCCTGAAAGCAAAATGGTCATCCTTTCTACACACACTTACTCTGTCTGCATTCTCCTCCTACCTTCTTTTCCTGTTCAAATCCTGTGCATCCTCTAGAACTCGGTTCAACCATCACTCTCAGAAAACCTTTCCCTTCAAAACCACAGTGAGATACCACTTCGCACTTACTAGGATGGCTATCACAGAACAAACAAAACAGGAAATAACAAATGCTGCTGAGGATGTTAAGGAATTAGAACCCTTGCATGCTGCTGGTGGGGCATGTAAAATGTAAGCCAGTTTAGCAATCCCTGAAATTTACAATAGAACTACCATGTGATCCAGAAATCCTACTTCTGGATATATACCCCAAAGAAGTGAAGGCAATGACTCAAACAGATACCTGTACACCCAGATTCCCAGCAGCATTGTTCCCGTGAGTCCAAAGGTGGAGGCAACCCAAATGTCTATTGCTGGATGAATGAAGAAACATAATGTGGTCTGCACAAACAAGGGGATATTTCTCAGCCTTACATGGGAAGGATATTGTGACACATGCTACAACATGGATGAAAATTGAGGACATTATCTCAGTGAAACACGCCAGTCACAACAGGATAAATACTGAATGATTTCACTTAAATTATATGCATAGTCCTGCTTATAGAAACAGAAAGTATTCTACTGCTTTACAACTTCCTACTAATGTCTGTCTCCTCCATTAGACTCCGAGAAACTTGAAGGATGGATCTACGCCTAGAACAACAACAGAAAAACCACATCTGTGTAACGTGTCTAATGACTGTGTAAGTGCCCTTAGGTTTGTTTTTCCACTTTATATGATGGCAAATGAGTGTTTAAGACCCTAAAACTTGATGTATTGTCTTACCTAAATCCTTTTGCAGAGGGGAAGGTGCTTTCCAAATTGAGTATAAAGAGAAAATAAATGGCTCCCAGATCATTTTACACCCACCCCTGCAACTTCGTTCTCCCTACCTGCTGTCCTCACCCCGATATGCTCTTTAGCTTCAAGCTGCCCCACAGCCACCCGGTCACCCACATCTTTATATCCTCTCTTACAGTCTCCCATGTCCTCATGGCCTTCCTTCTTCTTCCCCTGCCCAAATTATGCCTTTATATACATCTTTTTCAAAGAAAAATCAAATGAAACTACTAAGTATTAAAATATCAGTGATGGACCACTCACTTGGCTTGTTGAGAACTCAAAAATGCCCTTGATTAAAAAAAAAAAAAAAACCTAGAGTTTTCTCTGCTGATAGTTGATCCATTGTCATATAAGGCTAAGATTCAAGGGGAAAAAAAGGGATGTTCATTATTTTATGGCCCTATGGTTAGCCATAGAAAATGTTAAGGAGAATTCTCATGTGGAAAATCTTGCGTTTATACTAATTGGTATCTTATTTGTGTAATCAACTTTTTCACCATGTCCTCATAGTAAGTTTCCAAAACATAAAGCTGATCCAACCCCCTACATAAATCTCCTGAATGGTTTCCTTGATTCCTCCTCCACCCCTGCCAATCTGATTCCCATTCCTACGTCATATCTATAACTGCAGAACTCTCAATATCAACACTACTGGCACATTGGATGGGATCATTCTTTGTTGTGAGGGGTTGTCATGTGCCCGATAGGATGTTTGCAGCATCCCTGGCCTCCATCCACTGGATAACGGTGGCATCCCTCTTCCTCCAGTTGTAACAACCAAACAGTGTCTGCTGACATTACCAAATGTCTTCGGGGGGAAGGGGGAGCCAGAACCATCACTGTAACCCCAGGCAAGAACCATCACTGTAACCCCAAGCAAAATACTTGCTCCTGAGTAAAGCATGGCATGACATCTCCCACTGAAGATGCCATGCAGACCACTCCCTACTCGGAATACCTGGGCCATGGCATAACTGCATCGCATCAGCCTGCTCCTACCTCTACTGCAACCTGTGAGCAGCCAGCACCAGGTCTTCTCATTCACATTTGAACTCAGGTATCTAGCATTCTGCCTAACTTACAATACCCACTCAATAAATGCATGTTGAATAAATACCAGGAACATACCTAAAGAGATACAGAAGCAAGGATGAGTGGGGAGGTGGGGGAGGGATGAACCACAGAACTTATACGCATGTATGCATGAACAGTGGACATGGACAACAATCTGGGGAAGGGGCAGGGAGGGGAGGGGGAGGGGGGAATCAGTGGGGGAAAAAAGGAGAATCATCTGTAACAAAAATTAATCAATAAAAAAAAAAAAGAAAGAGAAAAAAAAAATTTCTTAAGCTATAGCAACCTACATATGATGAGACAACTTATTCCAGCTAGAAAACTCTGTGCTTTAATATTAAAAACAATAGCAAGACATGTTTAGCCCTTTAGGGATCTGAGTTTAAATGATGGGAGATAATAAATGTGAGGGTCACCGTTTTCAAAGCTCAGCTGTTGAAATAATACCAGTTCCTTCCTCCAGGAATGTACATAAACATCGAGCTGAGCGGCTCTGCTATGCAGTTCTTGGCAGTCCTGTAGTGAAACTGTTTGGTGATGGGAGATGTTAACTAATCACACTATAAAATAGAATTACAATTAATTGTTAATTTAGGTTTTAAAGTGACAAACTTTAAAGGCTAAAAATAGTCTTTGATCTTTAAAAGGCTTCTTAATGAGGGCAGTATACTTTAAGTACATCATTAATTTAAATGTTCAAATTGGGTCTACCGGCTGCTAGAGCTAAGCAAATATCTATTCCAATATGTTAAATGTTTATGACTTGGGACAGGGACAATTAATTGCTAATCAATGGGCCAAATCCTAGGTGAGGTCAGGTTCTGAAATAGGAGGACGACAATAGTAAATTGGATTTAGGGCTTTGTGATACGATCTGTAAAAATCACAGGCAAGTGGAGACTAAAAGAAGAGCAAGAAGCCCAATTGACAGAAACACCCAGATAATTAAGATATTATTCCTTTTGTTAATAGTGGTTTCAAGGGTGCCCTTTGTTTAGATTAATGAGCCATATTTTTAGAATTATATTTGCATGTCTGTAATTCAGTTACTTAAGCATATCATTCAGGATATAAAATAGTAAAACTCAGCATAGCTTAAAGGGTGATAACACCTGGTAGGTAAGATTAACAATATTCATAATATAATTTTCCAGTATGGTCTTGATCTACCATGTAACACTTCATTCCCTCCAAATCCAGAAGTAAAACCAATGTATGACTTCAGTAAGGCCTCCCTAACAATCATGCAAACCTTCCACTGTCATTGCCAATTGAAGCAAGCTATGCTTATTTTTGGAGTGTGGTCTATATATTTTTTTTTTTTTTTTAATCCTCACCCGAGGATATTTTTCCATCTTTTGTACAGATAGAGTGGGAGGGAGAGAGAGGAAGGGAGAGAGAGAGAGAAACATCGACGTGAAGGGACACATCGAGTGGCTGTCACCCGCACGACCAACCAGGGCCGGGGACAAACTGCAACCGAAGCACGTGCCCTTAGCGGGAACCGAACCCGGGTCTCTCCGGACCGCAGGCCGACGCTCTAACCGCTGAGCCAAACTGGCCAGGGCGGAGTGTGGTCTATTTTGATGTCATAGTTTTCACTAACCGTTAGTTCAGGTGAGAGACTCCAGAGACAAAGTTGACCCTCTTGACTTCCCGTCACAATGGTTTGCTGGTCATCAGTGATCATGATGGCAGTGATGCTGTGGGAAGGGGCCTTCTTTCCCCAGAGCGCGACTGCCTGCAGGGAGGGCCTCATGATGAGAGAACCTGGAAACACAGAGGAGGCGAGGAGTGTCCACAGGATTCATTCTTCGACTTGGGAAAACTGATCATATCACAAAGTAGATTTATAATGACACGAATTTGAACATGTTCTACCAAAACCATCAATGAGAGGGTAAGGTAGTCACGAGACACTGAAATGACCAGGCTTTGTGTTAATCTGTCGAAGATGAATGACTTTTATTCCAGTTCGTGCTCCCTGACACTGATGAAGAGAAGGATGGAAATAGTCTCCCCGCCCCACAGGCAGCTCTGACTCTGGGTGACCCTGACCTCTCCAAATCCCAGCCAGGCCCCTCAAGAATAGAGCTGTGTACACACTACAGTTTGAAGACAGCTTTGCAGGCTCTCTCTCCCCAGAAATGTCACCTCAACTAATTAACAAATATCTGAATTTTTCTATTAAAAAGTAAATATTTTCCATAAAATCAGCATTTCCTGGTTGTCAAAAGTTGATATATGGCTGTCATGATTTGTCATATTTATGTTCCATCTATACTACTTTAATAATAATTTTTATTTGACTAATTTTCATGAAATCTCTACCTTCATGTGTTAGTGACAAAAGTTAAAATGAGTACATAATTATCATTTCAACCTGGGTACCACCCAAAAATGATCTGAAAAATCAGCTAGTGACATGCACATTACATTTTGTGAAACATTGAGTTAAAAGTTTTCCCTGCCTGGCTGGTGTGGCTCAATAGTTGAGCATCGACCCATGCACCAAGAGGTACCCGGTTTGATTCTCAGTCAGTGCACATGCCCAGGTTGTGGGCCCGATCCCCAGGGGGGATGTGTGCAGGAGGCGGCCCATTAATGTTTCTCTCTCATCAATGTTTCTATCTCTCTTTCCCTCTTCCTTTCTCTCTCTAAAAATCAATAAAATATATATATTTAAAAAATAAAAAAATTTCCCTCAAATAACCATTCTTTTCAGAAATACAAATAATTTGCTAATGAATAATGCTTTAGGTCCTCAGAATAAATCAGTAAGTTTTCTTCTGTGACTTAGTAGCATATATTTTGTCTCCATAAAAATAAGTGATAAGAGAAGAGGATAAGAGAAGAAGAAGATACCAAGCTTATTTTCTACATTTGGCTTGAGAAAGTTAAGAAAATAAAGACCTTCTGTCCTGCAAGACTTCTGGTACTAAAGCATAACAAGGGTAAGTACCATATAAATTTTTAAAGCTTATGGTATATATTATTTAGAATGCTCAATTATACATATATAAACACACAAGCACATAACCATGAGTATGCATTGACACCATGAACGTAAATTCAATATAAGCGGTGCTTAACCCACAAACCAGCTGCCTTCCGAATTTTACTTGTAGTTCAGTTATTTGGAATTTAGTAACTAGTTTCCCATGGCTTACTTCTTAGGTCAGTATACAAGTGTATGTAACCTATAATAGAGCTGTACTATTCTTACTGCAGTACCTAAGCACCATGAAAACAAGATTTCTATAGGAAATACTCTCAACTTTGCAATTTAGTGTATCAGGACCACACATACTGATCAAAGTATGAAGCTAACCAAAGACTTCTGAGTTCAGGTTTCAATAACACTATAATTCCAACTTGAATCTCTTCTATTCAGACATAGGAGTAATGCTATACATAGGAAAAACCTGTCAGACACCATCTTAGTCAAGTGATGAAAGTAAACAACTTCAGTGATGGGACAAAAACAAATTCATGTGTCATCTGATAAAATGCAATGAGAAGAACACCCATGTGATATTCCTACCAAAGATGCATGCATGACATGAACCTCATCATGACAAACACACATTGAAGGACTCTACAAAATGACTGGTCTATAATCTTCAAATGTGTCAAGGAAATGAAAGTCAAAGAAAGACTAAGCAACTATTTCAATTAAAGGAGACTCAAGACCATGAAAGCTGAGTACAACATGTGGCTCTAGACTGGATTCTTTTGCTGTTGTGAACTCGCTGGGCTAACTGGCAAAACTTGGATTAGGTTTAAGGATCGAATGGTAGTAACATACCAATATTGATTTCCTAATTTTGAAGGATTTATTATGATTGCAAGGGATAATATTGTTCTATACACTAAAGTATTCTGAAAAGATGGGGTAACAGATTGGCAACTTCCTATCAAATTGTTTTCATGGAAACAGTTCTATGTGCTATACTAACTATGCATCTTTAAGTTCAAAATTGTTTTAAAACTATATTATTAAAAAATTATTTGGTCTTTCATTTCTCAGAATGTTTCAAAGACATGAAAATTTTGATTCAAGAATCCAGTAAGCATTCAGGAGGCTTCAAATGGAAATGATGGACACAAAAGTTCATCTTAGAAAAATTGTAGTATACCAAAGGCAAAATGTGAAAGAAATGAAATGACCTAAAAACAGAACAAAAAACAAAGAAACAAAAACCTAACAAAACAGCAAGTATGCTTAAAGCAGATTTCTCCACAACAAAACAATGGCCAGAAGCTACTGAAATATTACCTGCAAAATGCTAAAGGGAAATGAATGCCAACCTAGGCTTTTATACTTAGCTATCATTCAAAGCAAGGGCAATGTAAAGACATTTTCCAACAAATAAGGCCTCAGAGAATACAACATTTAGAAACCTTGTTGAAAGAATTATTAAAGAATACACTTTACAAAGAATACATTAGCCCTGGCCAGTTTGGCTCAGCGGTTAGAGCGTCGGCCTGCGGTCTGGAGAGACCCGGGTTCGGTTCCCGCTAAGGGCACGTACTTCGGTTGCAGTTTGTCCCCAGCCCTGGTTGGTCGTGCGGGTGGCAGCCACTCGATGTGTCCCTTCACGTCGATGTTTCTCTCTCTCTCTCTCCCTTCCTCTCTCTCCCTCCCACTCTATCTGTACAAAAAAAATGGAAAAATATCCTCGGGTGAGGATTAAAAAAAAAAAAGAATACATTAAATCAAAAAGAAAGGAAGAAAGTGGGATAAAAAATGCAGTGCTGAGCAAGGAAATCATTAAACGCACAAGTAAGTCTAAATGGTTAACCCAGAGACATAGAGGTGGGGTACAGACTGACAAGGCTCAGAAGAGGGGGTGTTTGTGGGGAAGAGATAAACCACAGAACTTACATGCATGTATGCATGACCAATGAACATAGACAACAAAGCTGGAGATGGGGTGGGGGGGAGGGGAGGATGGTGTCGGGAAAAATGAGAAACGTCTGTAACAAAAACAAATTAATAAATAAAAAATTAAATAAATAAATAAATGGTTGTGTTTTAACATTCTGCTACTAAGAAACACGACTCCTAACTTTGTAGTAGTTTTTTTCACCACAACTGCTGGTTCTACAACAAAAATCACCATTCAAAAATGATCTGCATTTTGACCTCCACTCCTGGCTTGACTAAGGTGTGTTCTCAGAACCAAGAAGTGGTAGGAAAAGGAGTGCTCATGGTCACACTGCTCCAAAGGATCAGGCGTTTTTGTCTACGGGCAGTGTGCACTTGGCTCATTCCAAAGACTCGCCTGTCACCTTTTTAACTTTACCTAGGAAACTGTAGCCAGGGCAGTTGCCCAGGCTGCTAAGGAGGGCTATAACAGAAACAAATTTGGGGAACATTTACCAGGGAATTAATATAGTTGTAATGATTAACTAACATTATGCCAAAGATAACTACATCCTGAGGTGAGTTCTTTATATCCCTATTACTCTGGAAAATTAGCTTCTCTTACTACTGGAATCATTGCAACACGGTCTACCCAATAACCAGCCACTTTGTATTATTCTGGTTTTGTTTCTCCCTTAAAATTACCTGCTTGATACAATTCGCCAAGGACAGAGACCAGCCCTTGCATACACAGTGCCTGGCCCATAGTGGGTCCTGGATAAATATTCTTTTAACAAACTGATCTTGATGATTTTTCTTTTTATATCTTTTGTGAAAGATGTGAATCATTTCTTAATCATTATTGCAGTCTAAACAGAAACAAAACACAGTGCTTTGAATAGGAAAATAATGAATATGGGCTAAATAAACTTTTCTTTATGATTTTTAAGCTCTGTATTCCAAAGGGAAGGGGGTTGATTAAGACTATGAACTTCAAGTCGGGTTAGCATTAAATGTAAGTCACTTCAGCTCTTTGAGTTTCAGTTGTTTCAGCTATGACATGAGAATAAGGACAGTACCTAGCTCAGGGTATTGTGAGGATAAAATGAGAACATGCATAAGATGTAGAACACATGCATAAGATGTAGAACACAGGATGGTTATTCAGTAGTTAAATTCTAGCTCCCATACTTTGGAATAATAGCAACAGTTACCCACAGTCAACCTCTTCACCATTATGCTTTCGCTTTATTCTTATTCATATTAAATCCATTCCAAATTCACTAGATTTTAAATTTTCCTCCAAGGACAAGGGCTTCTTTCTGAGTTGTCCACTGCTCTCTTCTCAGGGCCCAGAGAGAGTTTAGGACACACAAACACTCAGTAACTATTCGCTGAATAAATGAATGAAAACACGCACGATAGTCTAAAGACTCACACTGAATAAAGCATCCACCCATGCAAATATTTGCAAATGTTTAAGTACCTAACAAAATACAAGGTACTCAGAGTTTAGAAAATCAAGTAAGTCAAAACATTTCGTAGATTAAAACCCTTACTAGTCCTAGGATTCCTAACACATCAACTTAGAAAACGAAAAGCACCAAGACCAAAGCCACAAGAAATCAGATTATGACCAGAGCTGATCCTGAACCATCTGGATTGCTAAATGTAGTGGAAACAGACCTGGAATTCGGATACCTGGTTCTAGGGTGGCTATTACCACGTATGACCTCTATTTCTAGATTATAAAGCACCTGTGTTGCCTACATCCCGGTATTCTTATGAGGAATAAATTCGCAATGTAAAAAGCATATGGGTATAACATACATAGTATGCTATTATTATACCTTGCAGCTATTAACTCATAATTTTAGCTCTCATAGTAT